TTCAAATATTACAAGGACTTGTACAAGTATGTTTTTTTTTTTTTTTTTTTTTAAATGATAAACTTTTACTGTAACATTTTCCTTTTTTTAATTAAAATGAGTATATTTTAGGTAACAGTTAAATAACTTTTAATTTCTTTGTTATTTCAATAAAATATTATGATAATTTGAAATGATTAATTAATATAAGGAAAGTATTATGATAGATTATTTGAGAAATTAAATATTTTTCATTAAATTATTATAAAATAAAGCAAATTTCAGGGTGTATCATATCCTGCAATGCATGGTGTTTGGCGCTATTGGGCACCACCATTAGAACGATCAAAATTAGCAACAACCGCATTTACTGGCTCTTATGCTGGGGCGGTAATTGGTTTACCAGCTTCTGCTTGGCTTGTTAGCTATATACATTGGTCAGCGCCATTTTATGTGTATGGTTCGTTTTTTTTAAATAAATTTTCCTTTTTTTTTTTTTTTTTAATCGTAAAATATTAAAATAATATTAGAGTGACGTATACAAACGTGTATAAAACGTATCCTAAAAAATTTATCCATCTATAAATTTTGTCTTTTTCTTTTATTAATTTAATTTTTACTCATTCATATGTAATAATTATATTTTGAAATGTTAATACTTCTTTTTTTGATTAGGTTTTGCTGGCGTAATATGGGCAATATTTTGGTTTGCATTAACATTTGAAAGTCCAACATTTCATCCAACAATTTCAATGGAAGAGAAAAAATATATTTTAGAAACAATTGGACCAGTATCAACAAGTCATCCAACAGTAAGTTTTTTTTTTTTTTTTATAAAATTTTTATTTATTTGTTTATTTGATTAATTTTAATTTAATATTTAGCTTTCATCAATACCATGGAAAGCAATATTGCAATCAAAACCAGTTTATGCAATAATTGTGGCAAATTTTGCACGAAGTTGGACATTTTATCTTTTACTTCAAAATCAACTTACTTATATGAGAGAAGTGCTCAATATGGCAATTAATAATGTAAGTAATTTATACCAAAAAAAAAAAAAAAAAAATTTCACTTATTTTTTTTGGATAACAATAAAATATCACTAATTTTTCACTTTCTTTTTCTTTAAAAAAAAAAAAAAAAATAGATTAACAAATAAGCTAAACAATTGATAATTTAAAAGCAATAGCTTAAAATTTTTTAATTCCTTCTTATTTTATCATATTTAATTTGCTAATTAATCGATGATTACATTTTATTTATTGTACTTACAGAGTGGTTTAATAGCTGCTTTACCGCATGCAGTGATGGGTTTAGCAGTACTTGGTGGTGGTCAACTAGCCGACTATTTGCGCTCACGTCGAATTCTCAGTACAACAGCAGTGCGGAAACTTTTCAATTGTGGCGGTAACTGTTAACTGTTAACAAAAAACTCTCTCTCTCTTTCTCAATATATTTATTTCAGTCATATTTAATTATCAAAATTTTTCTTTTCTTTTTTTTGTATTTTTTTTTATATCAAAATTCTTTTCTTTTTTTTTTTTTTTGTATTGATAATATCAAATTTTAAAAATAATGCGCATATTTTCTCAATTATCTTTTTTCAATTTTCAATCCTTATTAATTAATATAATACTTTTTGAATGTAATAAAGTAACATTTATAGGTTTTGGTGGTGAGGCTATATTTATGTTAGTTGTAGCATATACTAAAAGTGATGCAACTGCTGTATTTGCACTAATACTTGCTGTTGGTAGTAGTGGATTTGCAATTTCAGGTTTTTTTTTATTTAAATTACTAGTAGTTATTTTTAAAATTCTCTCTGAAAAATTTTTTTAAATCTCTCTGAAAAAAATTTCATTCCATTGCTTATATTTTAATTCAAATGAGTTAAATTTTGAAAGCTTTATTAATCATTCAAAAAGAAATGAAACGATTAATTTAAAAAGATTTAGTTTAAAAAAAAAAAAAAATACAATTTATCATATTTTTAAATTATTTACTATTTACTTTATTTTTTTGAAGGCTTTAATGTGAATCATTTGGATATAGCACCACGTTATGCAGCAATATTAATGGGTTTTTCAAATGGTATTGGTACCTTAGCTGGTCTAACATGTCCATTTGTAACCGAAAAATTAATCGCACGTGGACCACGAGGATGGGAAAAAGTATTTTTGCTTGCAAGTCTCATACATTTTACTGGTGTTACCTTTTATGCTATTTATGCATCCGGTGAATTACAAGATTGGGCAGAACCAAAAGATGAAGAAGAACCATGGTTCAGAAATAACACCTATAAAAGCACCAGTAAGTTTATTTTATTTCATTTTTCATTCTAATTAATACAAAATAAATTAATTGATACTAAAAATTTTGTTAAAATATTAAATTGAAATTTAAAATGATATACCATAAATGATTTTTTTCATTTTAAGGTATAGATACCAGTGGTGCTGGTGGTGGTGGTGGTGGTGTTGGTGGTCATTATGGTACAGTAAATTCAGAACAACGACAAAATGATCCAATTCCTGATTTTAACAAAATTTGGAATGGTTGTATAGCATAATATTGTTGATCATTTTTTTCTATAAAAATTATACTTTATTTAAATCAAATAAATCATCAAACTATTAAATTGATTATTTCCATTTTTCTTTTTTCCTTTTTTTGCAGATTCATCTTCGACAATAGATTCAAATGAAATGAGAAATAGATACGACAACTTATCAACAACAGCTAATCCCACCAACTATAATGATTCGAAACGATATAGCAGCACAAACAATAATTACGAAGGATGGTGACCAATCATAAGAAAGTCATTTTATTTAAATCAAAAAAAAAAAAAAATTCATTATTCATTACTTTCGAGAAAATGTCGCCAAAAATTATGAATCAGTCATATCGATAGAGAGAAACTTAAGTAAAATGTAAGAATGTAACATCAGTTACATTCAAATATTTCTGATATTACAGTTACTCTCTCTCTCTTTTTTTTTGCAATAAATTGACATTTAACTTATTTTAACTGTATGCTACTGTTTTATTATCAACTTGAAACATTAAAATTTATAAACGATACTGGTATGCAAAGATGATCTGTTAACAAACATTGATAATACATTTAGTAAAATTTAATTATCTTAGGGAAAAAGAGAAAATGCTTAAAATTTATTTCCACTATTAATATCGTATTAATAGGAAAACATTAAAAGCAAAGAAATTTTAACTTTTCGATTACTTTTAATTTTATTTTATCAAAATATTTCGATTTCATAGAGCTCAATTGTTTACAGCAAGTTGGTAAAGATGCAACATATTTGCAACAATAAAAAAAGAAATCAAAAATCTGTTATCAAATCAAAAGCTCAATAAAATTGTCACTCAATTCATAACTTACGCTGACACTGTCAATAATTAATTAAATTATACTAAAACGCATATTCAAGGGATATAGGAGAGAGGGAGAGAGAGACAGAGAGAGAGAGAGGGAGGGAAAGAGAGAAGGAAAAAAGAAGGAAATGTCAACAATGCTTACAGTTTCTATTTTGCATTAATTCATGCAAATAACATATAAATGATAGAAAAAAAGTATTTCAAAAAGAGCAAAGAAAAGAATACATCTTCTTTTATAATTTGAGCAAATTCAAATTTAAATTTAAAAAAAAAAAAAAAAAAGCAGTACGAATCTCAAAATCAAACAGAACTTCTAAAATAAAATTATAAATAGTAATTATTACAAACATTTTGCTTTTTCTCTTTTGAGATATCACATTTAATGTAAAATTAATCTATTTCAAACTTTGTCAACCAATTCAAAATATAATTTTTTTTGTTTGTTTTTTTTTTTTTTTTGAAGTGTTATAGCTGTTTCCCCAAAAAAAAAAAAAAAAAAAATGATCACTAACTTATTAATCAATTGTTGATCCTAATTATGATATGTGATACAATCCTACTACATCCTACAATCATTCCTAAGCTTAAAAAGAAAACAAAGGAATACAATATCAATATACACCGGGCGCAACAGATGAGATGAGCAAATTTCTCTTACAATATGAAACAAAAAGATCAATCACATTCTACTACTTGTTGTTGAAGGATAAAAAAGTGAAAAGAAAAAGAAAGAAAAGAAAAAAAAAATGAAGAAAAAAGAAACTGTTAGTAAGAATTTAAAATTTAAAACTTAAATGAAGGAATAATTCTGTAAGGCATCATTTCTATCACTTAAAATTTCAATGTTAAAATATGTATCAAGAGTATCATGAAAATTTGATGCTATCAAATAAGCTGCTTTACCCATCTTTGCGCTCTTCTCTCCGGATAATACTGAAAGCTCATAATACAATAAATACTTCATACTTTGCAAGCTGCTATTTCTCAAACATGATGAATATTTTTAGGTTTAATTCATATTTACATAACAGAAATCAGAGTCTGAAAATGAACCAATCAATTTCTCATGTTGTTCAGGATTGTATGATCACAGTGAGATCCATTATAAAACTTTCCCGCTCTACAAAAGGTTCTGGGAAGTTAACCAAATTTCTTTAATCTCATAGCAAATCTATTTTTACAACATTGGCCATTCCGGAAATACTTCAATAAATCTGCTAATCCCACATATAGCTATGATTTCTGAATATATTTGGCGTTTTTTCAATAAGCTAGCAATCCTCAGTTATTTTTCTGAATATATTTTGAGTTTTTTTTTTTTTTTCAACAGATAGCTCTGCAGTTGAGAACTGACCTGCAGAGCTATCTGTTGAAGTTTCTTCAATAAATTGGTTAATCCTGAAACACTTCAATATCTTCCCATCTCAAAATTAAAATCAAAATTTACATTAAACAGATAAATTGACAAAAAGAGAACAACTAAAATACTATAATAAAGTTAATACAATAAAACAATAGGAAATATACGAAAGATAAGAACGAATCTGTTCAGGAAAGCAATATAGTGATAATAACAACAATTACGGATATGAGATTGCACCTCATACCGAAAATGCCATTCATTTCGATCCTCCTACGCCTTTGTCACCCTCTTTTGTCATTTCTTCCTTCTTTTTTTGTTCATTTGATACCCGTTTCTGCTTCTCTAATCTCTCTTTTCGTTCTTTATATTCTTTGTATGTCGTTATTACTAAAAGGAAAATGTAAGTAACTGGAAATTTTCATAGCTATTTCTCTGCTTTCAGGAAATATCACGACCACATTAGCTCAAATTCTCAGAGGAAGAGGTGAGATGAGATGTAAAACCTAACTTACATTAGCAGCTTTCATAACAAATTGCAAGAGACAAAAATAATTTTGGCTGACCTTCTGTTGGATGTTCTGTGGACTGGAAACATTTCCACATTCCAATCGCTGTTATTATTTCAGGTCGTTGCCTTATATCGACAACGGTTGGTGAACCTGCAGCTGATGCATCACTTTCCGGAAGAACAACTTGACGACCTCCATCCAAATTGAGCACTATCCCGGAACATCGAGGCTATAAACACCATGTTATCCATAAAACATCACTGGAAGTTCCATAGCTTCACAGATTGAACAAACCAAGACTAGGACAATTACCTACTACTGTAAATACAGGAATATTTTCCGTATTTGAATGCTTGATAAATAGGAAGCCATATTGTGATTTATAAAAGTCTAAAACTTACAGTACAAGAGCGAAAAATGTGAAATTCAAATTCTATATAAAATTCCTACTTTGAAAGCCTTCGAATCCTCGTCAGTTTCCTTTGACATAGTTTTAGAACTCTTCGATTCTGATTCTGAAAGACAAACATGCTATCTTTGATATAAATTTATTAAATCAACAGAAGCTATTCTTGTCATGAATTTATTGTTAGCTTCATATAACTAGCAAAACCAAACGTTACCTTTCGACACAGTTCCAGCAGCTTCGTTTGGATCAAAAAAGAAGGAGTAATCTTTCACTGCTGGGTCACTGCTTACCGATTCCACACTTACAGTTCGCTTTTGCTTGCTATATCCCGGCTTTTCTTCACTTTCCATATGACCTAAAATCATGAAACTTAACAGTCTTTCATGCATTTCCTGAACAATCAGATTGTCTCAAAAATGTCACATCAAATATATTTTGATAATAGCTCACCAGAAATGGAAATCCCACTAACGGAATGTTCTTCTTTGATCGATGCACGAAGATCCAACGATGCAAGAGGTGCTTCACTTGGACGTGTTTCAACATTATCGTACAATCGTCGCTTGGCTATATCTGCCCAAGATTGTTGAGCTGAAAAAAACCATCTTTAATGGATTTGCAAGAAAAAAAAAAGAAAAATAAATTAATCACTTTAAGAAATCTTTTGAAGAAAATTTCTTTAGAATATGCTATTTATTCGTTCGAAAAATTATAAACCTGGAGCTTTTGTATTAGGAATAGTACCACTGCCAATATGCTGCTCCGTTATTTTGCACTTCGCATCTGACAAACCTTCCGAAAGAGATGCAACAGCCGGTGAAGAGCCACTCTGCAACTAAAATTTTCGAAAACTGATTAATCAACAGAGTTCGATCACATAATGAAGTACTTTATCAAATGGTTTTTTTTTTTATATGCATATTAAATAAATGTGAAAAATGAATGAATAGTCAAAATAACAAATATGATTCACAGCACAAAAAAAAAAAAGAAATCCAAATTCATCACAAAAATTGTGAAAATATTTTTGTTTGAAAGAAAAAATAGTTACAGATAGCTTAACTTACGCTTCCAGCAGCGACAGAATATTTTAAAGTCAACGGTTGACTGCTACGATGATCAGGTGATGCTGTTCGACTTGTTTGAAGGGAAGATGGTAACCCACATTTTACCTTCTTGTTCATCGATACTGAGGTAGCAAATTTAGAATGCTCCTGCTGTCTTTGCTGCTCTGGACGAGCACTATCAGTGATGCCGATAATTTGACTTTTTCCACTCTAAAACAAAGACTTAGTTCATCATAGCACAGCATATATATATAGCATAACACATATATGATCAAAATTGCCAATTAGTTTAAGAGATGATACAGTGATTAACAAATATGTTGATGGTGTAAATTATGAATATTTCGTTTCTCATATGTCCACAGTAAATATCGCAAAACTGAAAATAGTTCAGACATTTCGTTCAAGTCATATCGATCAGTCAGTCAGTTCTGACAAACCTTGTTCTCTTGTGCTTTCATAAGAGTATTATCAACAACATCTGAAATTAACATCCGAAGTCGTGGAGGAGTCGAATATTTTTGAAAACTCTGAAAAGTTAAATAAAATTAGAAAAGAGTAGAAAAAGGCTACGAACACAAAACCACAATAAATTTAGTTTTTCTGTACACCATAAATTTCTTCTTCTCTTCCTGTTATCGATCACTTCCAAATATCGAGTTGGATCGGAGCGAAACAGTGGCACACTGCATTAACATAAACAAAGGTCAAATTTTTAAGAGAATGAACAAGCACGAAACAAACCTCGCAATCAACCGATGATGGAGAAGTGTTTCCACGTGAAGATAGCTGGTTTCTACGGCTGTCCGGTGGTAGTTGTACTGAGCTTCGTCGCAATCTATCTGCATCACGCCTTACATTTGTCCTAGCACCTCGATCTGTCGTGCTGCAACAATGATGTAACACTTTCATTGATTAAAATATTTCAGTTTTTTTTCCCACCATTTCATTAATTATTAAGCTTTTCTTGCAAAGTTATATTCTCATGATAAAAAGGTCATAATTCACTAAATTTTCCATACCAAAGCTGGACTGTAGAAAAACTTCGTATTTCTATCATACCTATTGAAGTACACGTTCTTCCTATCCATTCCCGATCCCGTAGTTTGTTGTTGATGTTGAGTCAGAGCAGTAGCACCTTTCCTCTTACTCTTAGCAGTGACCTGAATAAATTCAGATTCTTCGGATGTTACTGGTAAAGGATTTATTTCTTCATCATCAGCACGATAATTGGCGCCATCACTTATAAAGTCGCGTGAACCAGAAGCACCGGATTGTTCATCCGTATGATACTGCAACTCAGTTTTCTAAAAAACACTTATTTTACATCGAAACAAAGAATTAGAAAATTTCTGTTAAAATCAACATAAGCTATTTTAAATCTTGAAATTAATTACAGATTTTGTTTTTTTTTTTTTCAAAGTTAAAATTTTCTTTTAGTCCTTATTCGAAAAAGAATGATGCGTAATTTCACGGCAAATCTATAATTACTCATACCATAATTAATTTCAAAAAAAAAAAACATACGATGTCATCGGAGAAGTTGGAATTTGCACCTTCATCGGCACTCAAATATTGCTCTTCATCGTCCATACCTTCATCCACTGTGCTCTTCGCTGCGATCATAACACCACTCCCAGTTTCTTCTACCTTATCAGGTGATAATGTTACGACTTCCGTCTACAAAATCAAATTAGAATATAAGTTATGAATAAATTTAGTTTTTCGTTTTTTTAAATCAAATTTTATATTATTCACTATGCATTAAAAGCTACCAATAAATACCTGAAGAATGGACTGAATTAACTTTTAACTAACACGAATTTTCTACTACTTCATACAGAACTAAATTATATTTTATGGTTTGCCTTCTCAACTTTCATTCACTTCCAACAATCTATTTTTTCTTTTTAGCTCACTTCATGGGACTTAATATCATATGCGTGAGTATAGATAGAGCGTACAACTAAAATCCAATTAAACCAAAAGATAACACCTTCGATGTTCTCGTCTCTGTCGTTAATGATCCATGTTCAGGTACATGGGTAGTTCCCTCCACAACAACCATCTCTCCTTTTTCTATATTTAATGTTTCCATGTTGGTTGAGAGTTCAGCTATCTCTTTATCAGTGATGGCAGAGCGTCTTGCAGCCTATTAAAAAAAAAAAAAAATATCATGTTTAATAAAAATACCAAAAGCAATAAATCAAAAGTTCCATCTAATCATAGTAATATTTTGACCTTATGTTTTTTCTTTTTTTTTTTATGGAAGTAGAAAAACAAATCTTTTCATCATTAGAGACATTCAAGTCTCGCTAACAATCTCTTCTTTTCTTCAAAATCATCACCTATAATAAAAATCACAAAATAGGCAAACAGATATACGATAATCAAAAGTTCTTGAAATATTGAAACAACTTTACAAAGAAATGTATTTTACGGAAAACTTCTAGAATCGCTCTTTGTTAAATTAACTCAAACAAAGCAAATACTAATTTTTCGGAACCTTATCTGCTTGGCGATCTTTTTTGTCACCTCTTTTACGACCACCACTATTTTTAGAACCGTTCGCTACAACAGTAGAATGATCCTAAAAGAAAAGAAGCGATATTCTAAATCTTAAATATATTATTCCTGGAGTAGTATGTGACATGCAGCATCAGAATCACACGTTCATCTGCTGTTACAGTGATTGTAATTTTATAACAGCTGAGTACAATTACTGTTAACAGTAGCTATTAATGTTTACTAATAATTGCATCAGTAATAGAAAAGGAAAATATCCATAAATCTTGTGAATATCGATCTGATGTTATCGCCTAAAATGATAGGAGTAGTAGAAATAATAATAGTGACACTACAAGTAAATGAGTATCGGATCAATGATCTGCCGAAATATTGTTGCATATTCGGAACAGGTAGTAGTATCCGACAGGGTAATGGTACCTGGAGATAATGGAAATGGAAGAAGCTAAAAAGGATGGAGGAAATTGGATGGAAATAAATGAGGGGAGAGAAAAAAGGAAAAGGAAGGGAGGAAAGAAGGAGAGATATGGTGAGCAGTACTTGAAAATGCAACCATTATGTGGTACTTCACAACAATTACCTCATAGCAGCCACAGCGATTAATAGTCGCTAACCATCATAGACTCAATGGTCAACACATTGACCTCAATAGCATCCTACCCTTTGACCTATCAAAATATGGATTGCTGAGTATGCACTGCAAAACAATAATTCCTCTGAACTATCTCCTCCTCCTCCTCCTCCTCCTACATCAAAAAGACCATCATTACTCATTTTTAAAAATGCCAGAAAAAAATTTCATTTGAATAGAAGTAAATACCTTAGACGCATTTGTTCCATTCTTTTGATTTCCTTTAACTTTCCCTTTGCCATCTCCCTCGATCCGCTTCAATATTTCTTCAGGTGATAAATTACCCATATAGCCTAAATTAGTGTCATATAAAATGCAAAAAAAAAAAGTGAATTAAATCATCAATTTAAATAAGCTTCTTTTCGAAGTTCGAGTTGTCGGGAGGAGTAATAGTTAGGATCACATTATGAAAACACTCAACAAGCCTATTCCATTTATCATATCTCCTTTTACATATTTATACATACATCGAAATTTTATATGCAATACTTTTTCAAATTGTTTAAAACAATTTCACAGCTATGCATTACGGCAAAAGAAATAGTTCCTGGAAATGGATGGATGGATGGATGTATCAATATTAACAGAAGTTTACTGCCAGAAGAGAAGACTGAACTTTTTAAGTTCTCATCTGGTAACAATATCTTCTCATATCTTTTACACTATGTCTCCAACAATGTACACATGAATATCAAAAAAAAAAAAAAAAAGATCAGAAAGCAAAATTAAAATGTAGAATTATAGATAAAATATTTTTAAAAAAACAGGAAATGATAATAAATTAAAGGGAAATGGTATTTTCTAACTCTCGTTATCTTGAATCTACTAAACAGATAAATGGGAGAGAGAGGGAGAGAGAAAGAAGAGGAAATAGAAAAAGTAAATGAAATGAAATGAGATGAATAAGTTATCCCCTTCTTTACCTATTACCAAACGAAATAACAATGCAGAATGATGAAGCAAAACAACAATGATATAGTATGTTTGGTGTTAAAAAAAAAATCTTACAAAATATAAACTTCCTTAATTAGAATTAAACTTCTACAACAAACCACTGATGAAAACATAAGTGAACGTTTAATCCTATAAATATAGTGGAAGGTTTAATTTTTTTACACATTACCTGTTATATCATTCCTCGTATACAAATTTATGAACAGCATATTGAAATGGAAGAGCATAAAATATTTCTCATCTCATTATTGCATTCCATTCTCGAACAAATATCATTTTAGCAGCATACTTTACTCGAAAGATAAAATGACCATATCATATATCATTGTGATTGCTGTCATAGCTTTTTCTCTCTCTAAGGAGAAAAAAAAAAATAAGCTGAACAATTACTAATTTATGATACTTTTTAATATTGTTTCTTCTAAAAAAATGCTTTACTTTTAAGTTTTATCTAATGCATTTCACTTATATATATATCAAAAATCAATTCCATTAAGGTTTTACAAAATTTGCTATTTCAAAACAAAGCTAAACGAAAGGCTTAACTTTCCGATATTTCAAAAATGTGTGCTTATATTCATTTCTTTTATCATAAACTTTTGAATGGAATGGTAGTTATTTTTTACTAATAAATATTACCACATTACTACCATTATTACAATTATCACTAGAACTAGTGCATATTCCATTATTCATTAAATGATGTATATCCGAAAATATGATGACAATGAATCATCATCTCTCATTCATTTTTTGCAAATCCCTTATTGTTGTCAACACCTATCACAATAATAGCTGCACATCATCCACTACCCTGATAGTTGTCTCTTTAAAGAGAAAGAGAGAGAGAGGGAGAGAGATTAGTAACCCTAATCTCACCGTATGGAACAAAATTGAATTCCTTTCGAGTAAATTATTCATACATTACCTATACATGAATACCAAACACTTATTATTCGCATAACCGTCCCCAACTAAATTCTTTAGGGAAGTCTATCACTTTTCATCACAGTTCCTATCTCATATATTTTTTAAATGGTTGGGAACAAAACGTTACTGTTATAAAAAAGAAATAATTTTTATAATTTGACCAGTAATTACTATCTGAAAAGTAAGGAGATATAAGAAAATTTCAAAAATATAACCATTTCTGTCCTATTTCAATTTACCTTACAATAAACATTTACTAATTACATTTATTGATTAGTAACACTCTCAATCCATTTCCTGGCAGATATTTTTACCTCAGTAGTTGCAGACGAATAGTTGAACTTATTTCTTTATTGCCTTTATCAAAAACATTATTGCTTCCTCATAATTATAATTGCTTTTCCTTACTTACTGATAAACGATCGAGTGATTCCTTTTACAAAACCATTTCTATTATAGACCAATTCAAAAATGAGATATGACAATATTGCTCCTGGCTGTAGTTCACCTACAGAAATGAAAATGGTCCTTTTATAAAAACAAATTCCGTTATGGGATCAGTGACATTTCAAATCTTGAAATAGAAGAAGCAAAAAAAAAGCGACAATATGACTCATCAGAAAGAAAGGGTCACAAGAAGAATTTGTGAAAAATTAAATGACTGAAATGTGTCATCATTTCGTTCAGTAGTGTCATCAGTCAAACCAGTTATCATCAATTTATTTAGCTATTTCAAAAAATATGCTAATAATGGTTAGATTTGTAAAAACAAAAGCAAAAAAACAAAATAACAATAACACCCAAATCTATTAGTAAATACGTTACAGCATATAAAATACTATTGCATTCAGTGACAAGCAGCTTTTAATAGATAATTTAATAGATTTCTATCCAACAATATGTCATCATTCATTCTTTTGATATCACAATATAGCACTCAGAAAAACTATTATACCAAAGGTAAATAAATGAATATGCGATGATAATTTAAATAATAAACAATGTTTTTTTTTTAGTTTCAGTCATTAGCATTAGAAAAAAAAAAAATTATCAATACTTTAAAATTGAACACCTAAAAAAAAAAAAAACAAAAACAGGGAAGCATTTAAATGATTCACTCCTTTTCTTTTTAAATTCTTTAAATTTCAAAAAAATCTACACAAGAATTTCTGATTGAAACTACTAACTGATAATGTCTGGTATGAAATGTACAGTAAAAAAAAAAAAAAAAAAAAAAACCAATTCTCATTTAAACAAAAATAAAAAGTTAAAATGAAGAAAAATCATCTACAAATGCACATAGAAATGAAAATAAAAAAAAAAAGTTTTAATTTGTATTTGCATTGTGTTCAATTTTATTCCTTTCATTTTGCAAAATGAAACGCTTAATTAGCTTAGATTACCTAAACAAATTTAATTCAAGAATAATAATAGTATGGGAAATGAAATGCATTGTGGATGAAAAATAAATTTGCACAACATATGTGCATTAATTGACAAAAAAAAAAAAATTGATGATTTCAAGTTAAAAAAATGTTAGTTTGTTTGATTTTAACTGCATTTAGAATATCTACTTTCATATGAATTATTATTAGTTTATATTAAATTTTTGTAAAGGATATTTGAAGTTTTGTTAAGTAAATATTACTGTTACATATGAAATTGAGCAATTAGAGTTTACTAAAAAAAATTATGAATTTGAAATGAAAGCTGAGAAATAATAAATTTTTGTGATTGGAATATCTGAAAATTTAGACTTATAAATATACTATAATTATACTAAAATCTTTTTTCTTTTTCTGACAAAATTAGCAGTGAATATTGCATAAGGTAAGATGAATTAAATTTATCTAAATTATAAACATAAAAATCATAAATTAATTAAACATTTTACACATTTTTTCTCCTTGTTATGGTACCTTTTTTAACAAGATTTAATAGAATTATTCAAAGAAGTTAAATTCGTTGATATCACTATGTAAAGACTATCTATGTTAATTAATAACTTGAAAAAAAAAAAAGATTAAATAATAAATTTACAAGTAATAAATTTTGTATATATTTACCCGAAAATGTTCCGTTTCGATGATCCATTCAAAAGTACGAATATTTTTTTTTTTTTCCGTCAGTGCTAATTATATGTCACCGTATGAAATGAACCACACTAATAATATATAGCACGAAATATGATGATGATGATAATAGTAATAATGATGTTAATAATATGCGACGATTGATAGTAATAAAAATGATAGAGATAATGATGACTATTACTGCTGCTAGTGATAAGATCAAAGATAAGATTTAAAGGAAGAAATGAATACCAAGCAAAAAGGTTAGAATATTACCTCTAAAATGATCCATTCTATTACTTCGTTTACAACCAAAAGATAGCAGCACAAGGTCATACTCGTAAACAAGTCTACAAATCGTTTGTTACCTTTCCCAGGAATATCCCCAGTGTAAATGACATATAATATATATGATAATGAACTAACCATCTTTCGGTTCAACAACATAACTATTTTTTGCTTCTTTTGCTTTTTTATTCTCTTTGCGTCTTTTAGCAATTGCGCATTTGTCCTATAAATTATTCTCTTTAGCAATTTACCAAAAAAAAAAAAAACTTTCTGGAAATTTATAAAAGAGATGGAATGATGCCAAATTATTTCGGATTTAATGATATTGTTATATTTCAAAATGAGAAAGTAATATGTCAAATAGTCAAATAAAAAGTTTCAAAAAAAAAAAGAAAGAAATTCCTCAAACTTTTCATATGGCATTCTATTGACTCTCTCTCTGCTCTTTGCAGTGAACTTATCCCATAATTCTCATTCATTTTCGTTTCAGTTATGTGTTCGAATGAAAAGAGAAGATTGGAAGAAAGAAGAGTGGGAGAGTGACAGAGAGAGGGACAGAGAGAAAGAGAGAGATAAAATTGATAAATGTAAACCAACTGGTTGATTTTTCAGGTTGGCCATTTCGTTATCCAAATTTGTCTGCTGTGGATTCTGAAATAAATTTTGTAAAATTATTATATTTGTTATGATAAGAAGAAAATATAAAATATAAAAATTGTTAAAACAGTTATCATATAAGTTTTTTTTTCTCTTTTTTTTCTACAATGTAATCAATCCTTAAAGATATAATGATAAATAAAAAAAAAGAGAGAGAGAGAGAAGTGTTATTATTAGAAAGATGAAAGCCAATTAAAAGAGTACAAAAAAAAAAAAAATAAAAATGCAAACTAACATTTACATCCATTCACCTTCTTATTGAAATCACTCAGGTAAATGAATGAGTTACGAAACATTTTGTCAAAAAAAAAAAAAAAAAAAAAAAAAAACCTTCTTATATAATTTGTAAAGAAATAAACAGATGAAAATAAGAGTACGTATCAGACAGATATTGTCCTTTTCACAATCTTTCTGTCCCTGTTATTCCCTCCTCTGCTACAGTACAATCAATAATAGATTGATTAAATAAACATTTAGAGATTATGTTATTTGCTATATAAATTTAATTAATTAATTAAAGTTAAGGATAAGTAAACAATTTACAATAATTTCAAATCATAACTTTACCTAATTTCTTCAAACTATTTCCATTTTTTTTATCTGTGTTAAAATGCAGAGAGAGGGAGAGAGAGAGAGAGAGAGAGATAGACAGAGGGAAAGGCGAGAGAAAAAGATAACGTAATTCTTTGAAATTAATAATAATAATAATAATAATAATAATAATAATAATAATAATAATAACAGTAATAATAATAATAATAATAGTAGTAGAAGTAATAATAATAACAATAATGATAATAATAATGATAATAATAATAATAATAGCCATAATAATAATGGCAATAATAATAATGGTAATAAAGTAATAATAATAATATTCCCGTCACATTTACCAAATACATATATATCAATTTTAGGTTTTTATCAATTCTTCCCAAAATAAGACAGTAACTTACTGACATTTCTTAATAAGATTTTTTAAAGCAAGAGAAAAAAAAAGTATTATCAATGTTTATTGTGCAACTGAAATAGCGCAGTTCCTTTTTTTTTTTATCCATAAAACAATATAGTAAAGAAAAATATAAAATGTGAAGAAAAGAGTAAATTCAGAAAAAAAAAAAAAACTTAAAATAATTAATTACAAATATAATTACAACCTATATATATATATATATATGTAAAAGATGGAATTATTTTAACATTTAAAAAATTGCTACAAGAATTGTTTTAGGAAAAGTTAGCACAAACAACATATATGATAGCAGCATAAACATGACATTTTAAGCTGTAACTACTTGCAGAATCATTTCTCATCACTTATTTGCTGATTCACATATCGAATGAACGTTACTTTTAAAATGATTTCGAAAGAACGAAACATAAAAAAGAAAGAAAAAAGAACAAAAAGAAAACGACGACAAATAATCAGCCAAAACTAACACAAAACAAACTTTTACTGCGTAGGAATACGCTTAGAAATATTCTTCAATAAAAAAAAAAAAAAAAAACCTTACAAAAATTTAGGAAAATATATTTCTAAAAAAAAAAAAAAAAATCATTTTATAAAATGATGCATGACAAATTTCTCCAATAAAGCACACTCATCTAAATCACTATTACTTTTCAAATTTTATAAAATGGAAGAAAAAAAAAAAACAATCATTTACAATGAAACGGATAAAAAGAAATGAAAACAAAACGTATTAGTAGTTGTATTTTTTTTTTTTTTTTTTTTCATTAAAAAACATCAATGCTTACTTATCCTTTAATTCATTTAATTCAATAGAATTTTATATGAAATAAAAAGTAAAAAAAAGAAAAAAAAAACTAAGCATTTTTAGATTCTTAATAGTTCTAAGAAAATGACGTGAATTTAAATATGATCAAGAATTCTTTTCGACCAATTTATCAAGAAAACATAACTATGTTCTACCAATTAAAAGAAAAAAAAAAACCAGCAAATCTTTTTATCCTAACAATCAAAAGTTTTTCATTTCTGCTCTTTTTTTTTTTTTTTAACTCAAATACCGATATTAAACATAAAAGACCCATCGATAATTAATAGATTGAAATAGGAAAAACAAACCAATTCGATACTAATATAAAATTTAAAATTACTGCAGCTAGTAAAAGATTGATGATAGCAGTATTGATTAGCATTTGGATGCCTTGTTTTGTTGTATAGCATTTATTATTCAATTTAAGTGAAAAAAAAAAAAAACTAAGACCAAAAGCAATTTACAGATTAAACCAGATTAAATAACATCATCAACAACAACAACTGAACTAACCGGTATAAAACAGATCATTTCCGGTTCTTTTCGTTTTCATCACCTACTGCAACTTCCATGAGAGCAATATCCAACAATAAAAATGACAACAAAATTCTGAATGTACTGATGATTTACACGAATGCATTAACTCTTCCGGTTCAAGAAACGATAACAACTTTTTTTAATTTTAATAAATCGGCAATATATCCAATAGACATTTAATATATATATATATATAATAGGAATAGAATAAAAAAAAACCAAAAAAGAAACGATAGAGAATAGAAAAAAAAATCATTTATATACCTATCGAGTATATCGGTTATTAAAAATTTTAAAATTTCAGGGATTCATTCATCACTAAATACTGATTCCACAAAATAAACAATTCATACTTAAGCATTTGGAAAATATAAACCCGCCGAAATAATAACCCACCGAAAAGTTGGAAAAAGTTGTGATGAAAGTAAATATGTCATCCATATTCCTCTAAAACACAATCACTTTTAATCAGTTTCTTTTTTAAAAAAAAAAAAAAAAGAAAACTGATCAAATCATATCTTAATAAATATCATACACCTAATATTTTTACTAATAAAAAGAGCTACACAGCAACACTATTCAAAATACTCATTTCGCCTCTAATATAATTTCTAATTCAAAAAATTCGATCTATATATTCATTAAAGAAAAAAAATAAAAATAATTTTAAACATTTTAAGAAGAAATAAAGGTAGTCGTATAGTTGATAGGTAAGAAAAGACATGATATAGTTTATTTGATGATTACCAGCAACCCTTTCCTGTTTTCTCTTTTCTCTTAATTAACTAAAATTATTGCAACTTTAGCATGAATAGAGAGAGAGAGAGAGAGAGAGAGAGGGTGGAAAAGATGGAAGGAGAGAGTAACGAATGAGGAAGATTGTTTATTGATGCCAATTGACAACTTATTCTATTTTAAAGAAATTTCACGAATGGATGTTACAAGTAGACAATTATATATAAAAAAAAAAAAAAAAAAAACAACCTTTCCTATTAGATTAAACTATGCCAAAATTTATTCTCAATTCATTAATGAGTATAAAGATATGAAAATTTTTGATATTAATGAAAACATGAAAAGAGAAAGAATATCACACCTAATGATAAGAAAAATTTTTCCTTTTATATTATCACTATCAATCAATAAATGAAATGATAACTGATAACGTCAATTTGCACATTTAATTTTTTCAACTTGCAATCAATGAAATTAAGGATAAGTTAGCAATAATAATAATAATAATAATAATAATAATAATAATAATAATAATAATAATAATAATAATAATAATAATAATAATAATAATAATAATAATATAATAATAACAACAACAATAGCAATAATAATAATAATAACAATAATAATAATAATAATAATAATAATAATAATAATAAATAATAAATAATAATAATAATAATAGTAATAATAATAGTAATAATAATAATAATAATAATAATAATAATAATAATAATAATAATAATAATAATAATAATAATAGTTGATGTTATTTTAAACTATCTATGTCTTCTTAGAAATGAAAAGAGACAAAGAAATGATATTTTCATCCAAAAAGACAAAAAAAAAATATTGGAAATGCTAAATGCATGTCTCATTTCATACATTTGGTAGACTATATATAAATATGCCTGCAATAGTGAACTGAAAATAATTAAACTTACACATTTAATTTTTCTCAGATTTCATTTCTGAAAATTTCTCAGTACAAATTTAATTTTTTCCTTTTCAAGAAAAGAAAAGAAAAAAAAAAGTAGCAAAAGAGCATTTTTTCGTGACGTATTTATAAAAAATAGCAAACCGGAAGAGTGGATATGGAAAGAAAACGAATAGTGAAATGAATATTCTTGATGATATCATAACTATGACAAAAAAGATAATATATTAGTAAAAAAGAAAGGATAGACTAAAACTAATCCATTTCTTAATCTTTCGTTTATTTTTTTTTTTAAGTTGTTATTTAATTTGAAAATGAAATAAGAAGAATAAAATGATCCTTTTTCTTCTGGACACAATATGAATGAATAAAATGAAGAGCATTGAGAAAGGAACAAGAAAGAACGAAAATAAATGTCACCATCACCATCACCATCACCATCAACAGTATCATCATTCATCAATACTTATATACATTCCCTATCGGAACATTTCCTAGTTGTTTGTGCAAAATGATAAAATGACACAGTGATCAAATTCTAAATTTCAACTCTACTTTATTCCTATTGCATCTTTTTATTCATTCAATAAAATGTCTTCAAAAAAAAAAAATTGTAGAATAAATAATGAAGATAATATTAGATCTTTGAAAAATAGATTAATCAGAATAATTACTATTAATAAAATCTTAACTAGCATTCAATTCACACATATGTTAAATTAAATTTATTGATACTAAAAAATAGTTCATTCCATTCAAATTAGTGCGATACAATGAAAAATTACCTCTGTAGCTATTTGATAGTAATAATGAAGATATTATTAATTACATTACAAATACAATAAGTAATTTCATTTATTTAAATTCAATTAATGAATATATGCTAAATACTACATCCCTCTACATCCTTTTGAATCTTCCTTAAATCTATAAATTTCCATATTTTCAATTTCAAAAAATCATAGCAAAATACTTGTGAATTGAGGATTTCAATACCATTTAACATTTTAAAATGTTGCATAATACATTTTAAAATTTTATCTTCCTATATATATATTATGAATGAATTATCTCAGGAAAAACTGATAACCAATGATTGCAATATAAGCTCGATATTTTTAGTTATATTTGTAACCTAAACCTAATATTTCAAAGACTAATCAATAAAGGACTAACGATCTATTATCTCTCTCTCTCTCTCTCTCTCTCTCTCTCTCTCCCCCAGTAATGATACTTTTTATACTAAAAATATCAGCTGAACATTCTTCAGTAATTAAGGACAAATAATATTAATTAAGAAGCACAATTTTAGTTCGATGCATTTGTGAGAGAAGAGAGAGAGAGAGAGAGAGAGAGAGAGAGAGAAAACTAGTAATGATTTCTACATCTATACATATTTAGGAACTTTGTGTTTAAAAAATTGGCACTTGATTATTTCAACACCTTTTAAGATACCTATAATCATCGAGAATAATCAATCAATTTCTGTAATGTAATCTCGATGATCATAATCAAATTTTAGATTTGCTGAAAAAGATTCATGGAACTATTTTACACTTCCTCCTCCTCCTCCTCCTCCTCCTCCCTTCTTCACATTTAAAATTAGTCATATCAAATTAAGAAATATTTATTACTTAAGCATGAATTATACGGATTAATTGTATGGATTACATTTTTATAATTTCTTGTAATACATACAAAACATTTTGACGATTGTAAAGATAATACATTAAAATGATGCATAAAATATATCCCTTCAACAATAAGTAATGCTAATATTATATTAATAACAGTAGTAGTAAGATAATATATTCTTGTTTATCTTAATTTATATGTAAATAAAAGTGGTTAGAAATTTTTATATGATTTAGATATTACAGAAATGAATTTATCCACAAAACATGTTATTTCACTGCGAAAACGCAAAAAAAAAAAAAAAAAAAAAGAAAGCTGTCAACTTTAAAAGTCCAAATTCATCTGTATCTCTTCATACAATTGTACATAAGATAATTGCCTATTTAGATTCATTTTCAAATCTCTCTTTCCTGATTATAATTAAAATTTAATCAGATATCATCCAATTCAATTAAAATTTATACCAAATTTTATTAAAATAGTCTCGAAAAATGATTATTGTCAATCATTTGCATTGAAAAAAAAAAAAAAAAAAAAAAACCGTAAGAAAAACTGAACCATAAAACTATACATTAATATAAAATTAAAAAAAAAAAAAAAAACAAAAAAGTGAACTAACAAGGCGAGTGTCCTCCGTTGGATCCAAAAGTCCTCTAGCGTAAGTTTCACGTCCATCAAAATTTGCCGGTACCAAATCTCGCGCTAATATCGAATTACATGTATTATCCGGTATGAAGTTAACTGTAATTATTATAAAAGTTAAAATAAATTGATAAAAGGAAAAAAATTAGTGGAATTTTATTGTTTTTTTCTCTTTTTTTTTTTTAAATTTTAATGCCAGTGAACAACGATCAGGCATAAACTTAATAAGCAAATAAAAGAAGAAAAATTAAAATTAAAATTTGCTACACAACATTAGACTATAACATATAACACACTTTCGTATAAAACTTTCCGACTTCAAACATTAAAATACTTTTTATACTAAAAGAACTATCAACATACTTTTTTTTTTTCTTAAAAAATTTAAAAGGAAATTACTATAAATGAATGACAATGTAATTATCATTTATTATTCTCAATAAAATAAGAGCAGAACTAAAAACTCTTACACTTTCAGGAGTAAATTTTAGAATCATTTCGATACTGACGAAAAAATAAATCATTCCTATCTTTTCATTCCCCCTCCCCCTCCAAAAAAAAAAAAAAAAAAAAAAAAAGTTGAGAAATATAATTCTTCTCAGAACCATTAAGACCCAGAACTTGTTTTCGTTACAATCTTTGTTTTTTGTTTTATTTTTTTTTAAGCAAAAATTTAAGCTCAACCTTTAAAATAAGATCAAAAAATCCATTCTTAAAAAAAAAAAAAAAAACCTTTTTTTTCTTTTTGAATAAGCAAAAAACATTCCATAGATTACTATTAAGTTAACAGTTAATACAAGAAAATGTTAGTTATTCATATCAACACAAAATAATAATTAAATAATAATTAAAAGTAAAAAAGAAAAAACGTCCATGCAGAAATGATATATGTATATGTAAGAAAGTAAATTATATGATATATTATAAATTTAATTTAATTATATAATAATTAAATTATGATAAAATTACATAATTCACAAAATATGAAAAAACTATCCATTTTATATTCAACCTTACAAAGTAGTACTAATTTTAAATATTATTC